CGTGTTCGGACACCCCGGGGCTTGCGGAGCTGCTGGGGGACACGGCCACAGGGTGGGCACCGCTGGCCCTGCAGGGCACCGGCGTTACACCGTGGTCCCCAAAAGGGACCCAGCGAGGCTGTGGTGCCTGCCGGGCCATTTCTCACCCAAAAAGGGGACTGGGGATGGCGGGACTCGGGAGGGACCCCGCGGGAGCACCCTCATCCCCAAAAGGGGCGTTTCGGGGCGAAAGCTCTGCGCCGCGGAGGCGGGCAGGGAAGGCTGCGATGAAGCCATCTGTGCATCTCCCAGTTCATAAATCCCTTTATGGCTCTGTCTCATACACTTTAACTGCCCCATAAATTTTTTTACAAGAGCAGCTGATGCTCCAGCCAGGATTACAAAGGGATTTACAGGATCGTAAGCGAGGCTGACTCACCGATCAAAATATTGAAGAAATAAAGGAGACGATAATGCCAAAGTTTCCTGCCCACTGGCAGCACAGGCTGGTTTCCAAACACCTTCTGATGTGCCCCGGGGTCTGCCCATGGGCTCAGTAAACACCAGGTTCAGCTTCCCCCCTTCCCTAATCCCCATCCCACCCGAGTGAGTGGGATTAGGGCACCTCAAAGCTCCCAGCAAAGCAGCGGCAGAGATAAACTACAACTTGATAGATCCCATCTCATCCCCAAACCCACCCGGGGCAGTCGCTGCCAGCAGGGACTCACCTCACCCAGCTTTAAAAATGAAAAAGCAGACAACACACTCCATTGCTTCCCCACCTGGTCTGAGCACCTGGGGTTTCGGGGCACTTGGGGCGAGCTAGGGACACGCACAGGGTGGGAGATGTTTCAAAACAGGGAGGGAAACAGGGAAAAATAAGTCCACGTGGAGCCTGACACGGGTTTAGCCATCAGGCAGCAAATCCGTCTTCCCCTGCCACCCACGGTGCAGAAAGGCAAAGGAAAGAGGGAGGAAAAGTGCAGGTCCATCATATTTAAGTATCACCAGCTGATGTTTGGAAAACAGTTTCTCGTTCGCTGGGAGGTTTATGGCCCCCCGCAGCCCTGCCAGCACATTGGGAGGGTTCGAGGTGAAGCTGAGAAGGTCAGAAGAGATCTCATGTGGTGCTGCCGGCTCAGCTGAGCTCTCCTGGCTGCCTCCAAACCCCGTCCTTCCCTGCCAGCCCTCTCATTTCCTCTGCCAGGCTGATCACTCCACCTCCATCCCTCCCCTCTGCTCATCCATCCTGCTCCCGCGTCCCTGGCCAGCCTCCACCCATCCCTGCATCCCACTGCCATCCCCTTTCCCCAAGCAGATGGCCAGCACCCAAGGATGGTTTCTTCCCACCAGGCAGCAAAATGCACCTGGGAGTCATCTCTAGAAGAGCGTAAATGGGATTTATGTCCCATGGGGACAGGGCATGGTGCCTGCGGGCACCGGGTGGCAGCTCCTCACCCCTGGAGCTGCTGCTTTGCTGCTTTATTTTAATTTCCAGTGATGGCAACAGGCCACTGGCTGCTTTACCAGGAGCTGGAAGAGCACCTGAGCACACGTTACACACAACAGGCACCTCGGATTTATCCCCATGTAGCTCCACCAAGCGCAAAGGTGTCTCAGGAAAACACCCGTTGAGCTCAGACTCTCCCAGTTGTTTGCCAAGGATCTGTTTGATCGGCAGCCCAAGGCCAGTCCAATCTTCCCACTCG